CATGATCCAGTCGATATACGGCCCAAGTCGCATGAGGCCAAAGCTAATACAATCGAACGTCGGGAATCAAAGCGTATGGAGCGCATTTACAATGGAAGTAACAAGAAAGCAAAAGCAACCGATACTGGAAAAGAGTTGAAACCAACAAGACGGCGAATGATTGATCAAACAAAGACGGATAAAGAGACTCTAAGCAAAAAAAAAGTTGTCATCTAAGGACACTAATCTTCAAAACGAGAAAAATCTTTCTCCAAGAAAGCGGTGTGAAGTAAAGCAACCTAAAACGCGTGATACGGAGACGGATAATGAAAAGGCGGATACTAAAAATGAAAAGGTAGCTAAGTCCAAACAAGATGTAAGCGAAACTCCCAAAAAGCGTGGTAGAAGGGCGGCGAATGAAAAGGTGGAAAGTAATGAAATTAGTCAAAATGTCGCTAAGTCCAAACAAGATGTAAGCGAAACTCCTACAAGGCGATTGAGACAGCTGAGGTGTGATAAAATAATCCGTACTAAAGATAAATATTCTGCGTCACCCTGTAAGGCGAACCGTTCAGTATCCCTAGCGTCTGCGGCTTCTTCAAAAAATACTGCCAAGAAAGAACGAAACAGTGGCAATAAATCGCTCAGTTCTTCGACGCCAAGTGTTAAAGGTACTCAAAAATTAAAAAATAGGGCAAAAACGAATTCACGAATGGAAATTTTACAGACACCAACTTCGCGGAATACCCGAGGCATGCAGCGCCAGACTCGGTCTTCAGATAGTTCAAGAAGTAAATATATGACGTCGCCTCTTTCCTTAGATAGTATTCGAAAAGGGAAGAAAAGGGGAAGAGGAGTGGCACAAAATTCTGGCAGCACCGGTACCAAAGACAAACAAGGAGATGTTTCCAAATCAACGAAAACGGAAAAAGCTGCCAGTGGTAAGAAAAGAAAAAATATTCATGAAGAGCTGGAAATAGGTGTTGTTGAAAAAGTACGAAAGGATGAATATACTAATGCAAAAAGACAAAAAATAATAGCTGCTTCTGACGAAGTATCAAACGTAACAGACTCGGCTATACTTCCATTCTCCGATACGACAGAGGATATGCAATGTGGCCAAAAAGTAATTGCAGACACGCATTCAGATAACCTTTTCTTGAGACCACCAACACCGATCAAAGTCATACGCAATTCCGAAGCTAAAATATTACCTACACCAAGTAGTTTTACTGATTCTGAAGTAGTATTCGTACCTCCGCCAGACGCAAATAATAAAAATCAACAGATTGTTATATTATCCAGTTCAACAGATGATGGCTCTCTATCGTCTCAACAATCTGCACAGAGTCGTAGAACTCGGGCACTCAAGCAAAAGAAGTCACTGAAGCGTCCTACAACAGACCGCGAGCGATTAGCTGAATTGTCTACAACGCCCACATTCGGTGAACTGTTAGCTAAACAGCAACGTATACACCGGAAATCACCTGATATATTTAGTGCAAGCACAGACCTTGGATTGACTTGTACACAACAACCTGCCGCGGATGGAAATGATGGAGTTGAGTCTTTTAAAGGCTTCAAGATATTTGGCTCCGAGGTCAAACAAATGCAGCAACAGAACGCACACAATTCCACACACAACGGCAAACAAAATAAACCAAAAGTCGTGCTGAGTCGGGGCCGATCGTGCTTGAATATTCTTGAAAAAATGTTTGATGATCCCCATACCGAAGATGCCACTAATAAAACACAAAACAAGCAGTCATCGAAGAAATCAGTAGACGACAAACTAGTAAAAAGGGCGACGAGACGAAGTCAACCAGTGATGCCGTCATTACCAAACACTGCTAATGCCGCTCAACTGCAGCAAGTACAAAACCAGGACCAATCTAAGCAAAAGCAAACCGTTAACAGTACCACCACTCAAATAATAAGCGGTCCGATGGTGGACGAGGAAATATTTGAAATTACAAATAATGATGCTTTTGGCAGTGTGATGCGAATCAATTCTAATGGAGAAATATCGCCCGTTCAAACTGCAGCTCGGAGCCAACAACTAACACAGCACAATAAAATTACTAATTATCTTATCGGTTCGACCCAACTGACACCAACGGAGACCACTCTGGACGAACGTACGCCCAGCAAACGCGTACAAACGCAGTTTTCAGGGACGCTAGCGCGCAGATCTCCGAAAAATAGATCAACACAATCGACAAAACTAACCAAATGGTTTCAGAAAAATGCTACGCAAAATGCCTCTCAATCGAATGTAGATCTGCAAGAAATGCGTGCTAGGAAGCATACCAGGAGCGCAATTGCTAAGCGACTTAAAAGACGTTGTCTGGAGCTGTCCTTCAAAAACTGAGAGAAGGATGCGCTGAGATGAGATACGCTGTGTATATGATAAATCTGCATGTATGTATGCACATTAATCAAATTAACCTGCATGTATTTAAACAATTTAGACAGTTTTAATGTACCTTTATTCAATTCTATCGTAAATGCACACAGATTTTTATAATTATTAGAATCTAATTGAAAGAGATACGAACACGATTAGTTCAAAGTAGCGACAACACATTGCATGGAATTTTGAAATACCCCATCGTCAGTACAATACATACATATGTAACTGTTGAGTACAAGTTTTAAAACATTGGCCGGTGTAGGCTACATATGTATGTATGCATGTATCTCCATATGCATATACGTACATACATATGTATTAACATATACATATGAAAACATTTTAATTGAAAATTTTAGATACATTCATATAGAAACTAAATACATAAATATATTAAATTAGTTTTATTATTGAGTTTTAAAATTTTAAATTTACATATGTGTTTACACTCCAGTCAGTGTAAATTAAAATCAAATGTTTAGATTGAAATATTTGCCGAACTCGAAGTGATTGAAATAAATGGAATACGTAAATGAATTGAAATTCGTTAGTTGGAATATTTGTTTTTACTGAAAATTGCAGTCAAATTGTGCATAACTGCTTGGCGCTGATATTCTAATTCGCGACGACAGGCTTCACTCAGAAATGGTGGACACTGATACTGTATATGTTCGCTGCAATAGGTGTCCTTGCCGGCGGCGGTGCATTTAAATTCGCTTGTCGAGTGTACTGTAAAATAATTATGAAGGTTAATTTGAAAATACCTGTAATAATTACTTAAATTCGTCTCGAGTAGTAATGCAAATGAGATTTAATTATTAAGATTTTACTGGTAATTCAAATAAAATTTCATTATCAGTAAAAATGTACTGATTATTGCTATGCTTAATACGATCAATAGTCCAAACAACCTCTAAAAAACAAAATTCTAACAGCAATCGTCGCTCGGCAGGCATGCCGAAAATCCGATTGAATTTCTACCTTAAAAAAGTTTCTCATAAAAACCATTTGCCGTTCGCAGGCGGCATAAAACCGAGTTCCATCCATTTTGTGTGACATCAAGACGTGCGCCACAAATTGGAGGAAAAGTTCGGTGCTTAAAAAGCAAAATAGCCGAATGCAACTCAAGTTGTTTTCCCAAATGTCCAGATACATACATACATAGTATGTACTACATATGTACATATGTATGTGTCCTATAACTACGGTGACCATAAATATGGATTCAAAATGAAGGACAATTTTTCAAAAATTTGCCTACATATATTTACGTAGTATAAAAATATCAAAAGAGTATTTATGATTCTAAATTCTTAATACATTTTAAACTTTAAAAATGAATCACGTTTTCTTCATCGATATTAATCTTTTTTACATGAATATTTATCAAATTATAGTAAAACATATTATAATTACAATAGCTTACACGAAAAGTGAAAATCTTTAAAAGATTATTTTATAGGCAAATTTTGAGTCATTCAAAACGAAAACAATACCCTTCTTTTTTTTGTTTTTTTTGGTACTTTTCGCAGTTATTTGTCAAAAATCGACGTCATGAATCGACGTAAACGACGAGTTACAAAGTGCCCTTTACAAAAATATATAATTTGTGCAGGTTGCGCTCCATAGCATCTACATTTCTAATCCGATTTTCATTATCTTTGGCTCAAAGTTTACTGTAATGATATATCTTCTTTATCGAATTTTTAAACTAATGAAAAAAAATAATCAAATAAAACTGCGTATTTGATTGAAAATCTCACTTTTTTCGACTTTGACGACAAAATGCAAATGGTCGCCTGTAGCACTAATAATTTTCATTGAAGTCTCCACAAGTTATATATTTTGGTAAGAGGCACATCAATACCCTTCGAGATGTAAGTCGCTTACGTTGATTGGGAGATTTTTTCATGAGATATTGAAGAAAAGCTGCGAAAAGTACCAAGAAACACTTTTTTTTGAAAAAATCCATCCATTGTCCGATAATTTTAAAATAACGGATAAAATGCGGGACAAATGCAGGACACTTGGTAAAAAGCAGTACATTTTGAGGTTTTTCAGGTTTGGAAAACTACGCAGGACCTACCTTCGAAAAACAGTACGGTCCTGCAAAAAACAGAACGGATGGTCACCGTACCTATAACACGGTGCTACAAAAAAATCACGAAATAAATACGCCCGAAACAATACTTAGTGTAGGTTGTAGCTAGGGCCCAGTATAACTTGAAAAGAGGTTTAATTTTTTAACGTTATTTTGCATGTTGCACTTATCTATTAACAGCTTGACTACTTTTCGTCCTTTAAAAATCCAATATGTTTCGAAAATGTACATATATCAATACAATAATTAGATTATCGCTAGTTTCATTTCGCGTTTTTTTTTTTGTAACACCGTGTAATTTATGCAACATTAAAATTTCTTAAATAGAAAACACAGTTTGTTTCACAATTGCTTTTCTAAATATGAATGATAGGTTTATGTCTGGAATAGCCCTTCGGGGAAAGGATTGCCCCAGGTTTACCGAAAAATACGCGCCTATACGAATTTTTCCTACATAAAAAAAAAAAAATATGGAGCAATTACGACGCCAGCTGAAAATACGCACATTTGTTTTTCGACATTCACAAATGTGTTCTTTAAACCCCAAATGCGGCAGTTATGACGAACGAAGTCATCAAGTTGTGAAACAAACTGTGTTTTCTATTTAATGAAAATTTTGCGTAAATTATGGGACACCTTTTATAAGCGCCGTGCATCGGAACTTACAACAATAGGTGCCTTTGAAGAAGCAAGTCTTGTGATTGGACTCGATCGCATAAATGGCGGGCTCCACTCCTGGCATAGTCTTAGTAACAATATAATCTGCTTTCGCCGTATTCAACCAATAGGGCCAGTGCGATAAACGCTCCGTGTATACGACTGTGTAACGCCATTCATGTGCATGTCCATTGTCGGCGATAATTTTGAAGTCCAAGCTATTGTAGAAGGCGAAAAATATAAGCATTATGTATGTACATATGTTTATAATAATTTTCTTCTATTTCAATGTATTACTGTAGAACAATCCTAGGTTATTTTGACCAGTAGTGGCTATATTTCGTTGATTATTGTAATGTTAAATTTTTTATTTTTTTTTTTATAAATCCATTGTGCAAGTATAGCATTGACACATTAAGTTAAACTTTTGGCAAATAGACCTAAACTTTGGGCAAATAAATTTAAACTTTAGGTACCAGTTAGTACCAGTTAGCCGCTGCAACAACAACAGTTTTTCAGGCACTGTTTAGTACTACAGAAGAGTTTCATTTTATTTGCCTAAAAATTCATTTTATTTGCCAAAAGTTTAACTTAATGTGCCAAGGCTATATTTAAGCTACATCATCGATGTTTATGCAAAACCGCCTAAATCGCCGTTGTGGGAAAAACGAGATTTGTTAACCCCGAATTCCAGGCATCGAGATTTATGCATAATGATCTTAAAATCGTTATTAAAACAACATATTTGTAAAATAAAAGCTAGAGAAAATACCGCCTATAAAGGCAATACCTTCAAAGAAACCGCGTTTTTTCGCTCTCCTATAAAATTTGAGTGCCGTAAGATAGACGGTTTTGCAAAAACATCGACGATATACTATTAAGCGTACTGTACTAAAAACATACCCTGCAGGAAACTATAAGTGCAGGAGATAAACTATAAGTTAATTTGAAGTTGATTAGAAAGGAAATGTATATTTCAGGGACCGTACTATTATCCTTTTTTTTAAAAGAGGCAATAAATAATTTTTATTTTTTCACCGATATGTTTTCAATCAAAATTTAAAGTTTTTTGGTCAAACTTGGCTTTTGTTTTTTTCAGTCAAAGAAAAAGTAAAAAACAACTCTTTAAACAATTTTCTGAGTGCTCAGAGTTTATGAGTCTAAAATGAGTCTTTCTTTTGTCATAAATATGATTCTAAGACCAGTCCATGGCAAAATTGTGCCAGGTGCGATAATTGGAGCGAAAAGAAAGATCTGATACTTATTTGAAAATTTGCCGTTAACAATTTCTATAAGATACCCGAATGTTAGGCAAACAAATCGAGAAAGCTGTTTTATTACTTCACCTGTTTTTAATTTCACCACGAGACCAGTCAATCACACTGACTCATTTCGGACTCTTTTGGTGTCATAAATTCGGAGTTGAACAAAAGTATCAAGTAAAAGTGTATTAATAATCAGAATTATAAAGAATATATTTTTTTAAGTCTCAGAAAGCACCATATTTCAAACTCTAATATGACTCCTAACTTGGAGTCATATTGGCGTGCTCTTCTAACCTTTATATTTTTGTATCATGCATTATACTATTAGGAGTGTTCGCTATGCAAAAAATTTGTACAAGTTGGTACCAATTGTTACCAAATGTTACTTGCAAGGAGGGAGCACAATTTTGACATTTCATTTGGAGGAGAAGTTGCAAATTCGTGCTGGGAAAATTTTTGCCAGTAAGAATTTGCAAGCAGGATTGTGGCACACGATTGCATTTTGTCAACATTAATTTGAATCAACGAGTTCGTTAAATTTAAAAATGAACTATCTTGTTGCGATTTACTAATGAAAGGAGTATGTAAATATTCGTTTATTCAATTAATTTAATTAATTCCATATATTTGAAAGGTACTCGACTGAAAAGGCTGTATTCGTAATCGGAACGCACTCGGCACCACTGTCGATATAGGAAATCCGACAGTGACTTCCACAAAGAAATTGAAGCGTATGTTGAAGAAAGTCAAAATAGGAAGAAATATACGTATAGGTCCTGTTTTGGTTTCCACCTGAAATAATTTTAAAAATTTATTATGCTCGAAATGCAACCGTGGGCGCCAGCTGGCAGTGAAGCTTGCAAATGTTTGCTAATTCCTGTTTGCGCAAAACTCAGTAAGTTTCTCTCTTTGGGAGAGTAAGATACCTTATTCTCTGAATTTTGTTACTGGCTAATTCTTACTGGCAGTTGCATAGCGAACACTCCTATTGTTTGTGATAACGGAAGTGAAAATTATACCCGAATACCAATTTAATGTATGGAAAATAATTATAAACAAAATGCACATATGTGACCTGGTCTACGGAAAGGGGGCTTAGGTGTCAAAAAATCAATTTTCACTTTTTGGTTGATTCGGATGGAAGATGAGATGCTTTTTCACGTGGTGAAAAGCAGAAAATCCTAACTTGCTTAGAAGTGTACTAAAAATGTAGAGAAAGAAGAGTAAAAATACGACAAAATATAATTTATTGGTAATGAACAAAATACATTGAATTATAAGCTATAAAGACATGATTATACACTAGAAAAACGTATTATGGGCATTCATTATTACAACAATCTTTTGACAGAAATTTTGTTACCAGCTCCTCCTCCTTTACATCAACAACACACAGGTCCATCTTAACAAAAGTTTGTTCGGTATCATCTTCTGCCTGAGATACACATACTTCGTCTTCATCATCATCGCTCTCTTCATAGTTTTCATCATCGTTTTCATCATCCTTTTCATGGAAATATTGTCCGTATACGGCACTGAACTCCTCATCAACACTCATGTTTCATTTCATGCGAAATGCGAATACGATAATCAACAGAAACAGTAATCGTCACTTCTTGAGTGTTACTTTTTTAAATGTTCCACACTAGCAACTTACACGATGAACTATAATAATATTCCGACCAACAACAACACTTACTGGACCAACAACAACACTTACTGGACCAACAACATCACTTACTGGACGTCCGGCGCGGAGAACAATTAACAAGATAATGAGAAACTGACGAAACGAGTTGCTTACTTTTAACAGCTTTTTCACAGAAAACTAGTTTTCGCACGTAAGCTCCCTTTTCGTAGACCAGGTCACATATAATTCTTTTTCTAAGGATACAGACATAAAGGGCCGCCAAGAGGAAATCTGGGCCCGGTGATAAATATGTGCGAGCCCCCTACAAATGGCCATTCTATATTTGCATGTGTACGTAAATAGGCGCTATCACCATATATGCAATACTTCTAAATCGCTAGTACATTCCCCAGCATCAGATTGTCGATATCATCGTACAGTTTCCTAAGTAAAAACACTATCAGCTGATTGTCAAAAAATGCCTACAGCAGAGATCACCTATTTTTTGGCATTTGCTCTTGTCTTTTACAATTTCTTTAATTTCTATTACAATTTCTTCCATTTCTATTACAATTTATTTAAAAAACACTAACTCACTGAACCATAAACACCAATACACTAACCAAAAACACACCTACAGCCTACCAGAAAAACGGTAAGAAGAAGAGTTACGTTACTTATGGAACTGTCGATGGTCGATATTTTAAAAAAAGAAAGAGAGATCCGATAAGAGAATGTACTCAAAATGATAATTCCACTTTGCAAAATTCAGGAGCGGTTTAACAAAAGTATTGATTTTCAAGAATTCTATACCATTTCTACGAAACGTGGTTTTTCCCGTATAAAATACATGAAAATTTTTGAGCGCATCGAGCGACCTCTAAATATCTTTTAAATTTAAAATATTTTTTTTTCGGTGTAGAACAATCCTAGGTGGTGGGGGCATAAAAATTTCGGCTTTATCTTTTCACATGCATTTTTGGACCACCCTAATGTGCATACATCAATAGTATGTGTGCGGCGTGCTCCGCAGATCTTTTAAATTTGAATTTATGCATATATACATATATGTATATATATATATATCGTCGTTTAAAGTACAAAACCGCGTATCAACAAAATGCAAAACCGAATGGATAAGGATTGAGCCAAGAGTTTGTGTGAGGAAATCCAATTTTTGGCAACCAGTGTCAGTTACGCGGTTTTGCAGAATGACGATACACGGTTTTGTTCTTTAAACGACGATATATATGTATATATCTATATGTATGTATGTATGTATGTACATGTATGTATGTATAAACACACATTTATGCATGTACATATCGCACACGATCTTTAAAAGTGACACAACTCAAAACTACACGTTCGTCAGAAAATGCAATAAAACTATTTCGTAGCACATATTAATCGTATGGGCAAGCGAGACTATGCCTTAGGTGTTTTCAATAAATTGCAACAAAAATTTTCTCCAGCTTTTGCTTAAAGGTAACATAAATACATTTTTAGTGCATAATTTCAAAAATGCCAAATTTTGAGTTGTGTCACTTTTGAAGATCGTGTGCGATATATACATATAGCTTTTACTTACATAGTCGGATTGAGTGAACGCATTTTACTAAAATCTGCCACATACTCCCAGACCTCTTCCGGTTTACTATTGCCAATCATCGCATCAATCTTATACTTGCGATATCTACTCGCGATTAAAATATACAGAATCAATAATCCACAGCCGTAAAGGGTTAATTTTTTTATATTCCAACGCTTCAAGTGCATTTTGTATTCCTTCGGCAGATAAAATTCTAAGTAAAATGAAGCAAAAGTAAAATCACTACAACGCAAATGCCGCGGTCGTCTTTCGATATGCGCCCAACGAGTGTCTTGGTTGAACAAAATTTTAAAACTGTTGCACATAGCCACCGGGATAAACAAATAGTAGAGGAACTCCGCACATGTGGGCCATACTGGATGTTTGATATGCGCGATTCTTTTGTGAATGTATGTACATACATATGTATGTACGTATGTATGTAGATACATATCCATATCAAAATACATACATTAATTGTGCATATCGCCCCTTTCCATGAACAATATCACATCTCAAAATACCAAAAACTCGAGAAAACCCGCTTTAAAGATTTGAATTTACATACATATATGTATGTATGTACTTCCATAGTAAAAATGAATACATACTTTCTTCTAATGAGCTATTGTTAATCAAGCAACAGCAATGATATTTTTACACAACATTTCAGGTCATTTCTGTATGCCTAACTCAAAAAAATTGTATTTGAGATGTAGCGTTATTCATGCAAAGGTGTGAATTTGAACGTACACATACAGTATCGGCCACATCAATAGCACCCCTTTTCAAAATGATATTGTTTGCCGCTAATATTTATTTTTAAGAATTTTCAATAAAAATACAGACTTAAACTAAATAAAAAAATAATGTAACAAATTTCAAACTTTTTTCTCAGAAGTGTTGGAATTTTTTTGAGTATACTGTTCCAAATGTAGTCAAATAAAGTACAAGTTTTAAGTGGCAAAAAATTACCGTTAGTTTTTTTGAATTTTTTTGCCATATAAAAATAAATTGTGTTTATCCGTTATGTGAGGCGTTTATTTGAAAATTCCAAAAAAAACTGACTCCAGAGGGGAAAACATTAAAATATGTCACGACCCAACATTTTATTTGCGAATTCAGCGTCTTTTACCTAGCACAGTAATGACCCCATTTTGAATTTTAAATTCTGCCACTTTGCAATCGAGTATTTTGACTTAGTATATGTTTACTTTAGTTGCTTAGAATTTTGGACAGTGCTCTGGGCCGGTTGATGTGAAACGTCCCATTCATGTATACACATACATACATATATATTTATATACATACATCCATACATATATACAAGAATTGCTCGTTTAAAGTAATAAGATTTAAAGACTATTATATATGTAAATAAATACATATGTAATTTATTCATCAATTTTAGTAAAACACTGTAAAATACGATCCCGTACGAGTCCGGACTTGTCAGAAATAGTCAGAATCAGTCAATTTTACTCTCTATTGAGAGGACAAAAAAGAGACTAAATACGGTTCTCTCTCTGTCAGAAGTTACCCGTTTTAGTCCGAGAATTTTTTGCTGGTAAATTCTGGTAAATGTGTCAAACGATCAGCTGTAGAGAGTTTGGCAACAAAATTGTAAACAAAAGAAAAGTGCACTCTGCTAATTCATGTTGAAAAGTATTTAATTACTTGTTTAAGTGGATTCCAATGAATTTGA